CTTCTACTTTCCATCTGGTTTTAGCCTTAACTATAATTCCTTTAACTTTTTCCTCTCTAATTGTTCTAAGTTCTGCCTCTGTCCTTGTTATCTCGGATTCTTTTCTATTTTCCCCTTCTTCCAAATAAAGGTCTTTTAATTCCAATTCTATTTTTTATTCCTTATATACTCTGATTTTTTTCTTATATGAACAGTATTTTATGGTCATTCCCCTTATCATTACTTGTATGGTTTCCCACAGCAAGTGGTTATCTATCGAATATTCAATCTTATTGGTGTAATCATTATTTCTATACTGGTTAAGAGTGTCAGATATACATTCCTTAACTTTTGTGACATATATAGTATCATGTAATAACGAGTTGTTGAATTTCCAAGTGCCACTTCCTCGTTTTTGATTGTTAAATATAAAAGTAACTGAAACTGGAGAGTGGTCAGATCTAAAGCTTATTCCTATATCCGTATTGGTAATAAAAGGGACTAAATCAGAAAAAAAACTAGAAAATAACCCAGCCTTGCCTGTTTTTGATGAGGACCCCTCCACGTATATCTTCTAATTCCAGGGTTCTCTTCACTCCATATATCTAACATATCTAATGAAGACATCATTTCGTGAATTTTAGCTTGACTTCTAGGATTATTTTTTGTTTATAGTTAAGGTTATCAAGTTCATAACTTAGACTCATATTCCAATCTCCACAGGCTATACTTGGATTATTATCTAAAATTTCAAGCTTTTGGTGTATGTTATCAAAGAGTTTCATTTCAAGTATTAGAAAATTACCATTAACACCTTTAATCTCCTTTAAAATTTCAAATTGAAATGTATTATTAAAAAGAACGGCAACACCCCTGCTATTACTAGAAAAAGAACAAAATTTATTTGTATAACCCCATTCTCTTGCCCAATATTGCTCAATCTCTTTAGTAGAATGTGTATCATTAACACAGATATATAATATTTTTTCCTACAACTAATAAAAAATTCTCCGCGTTTTATTTCATCTGACGACAAACCCCGACAGTTGCAGCGGCCAATTTTTAAATTATCATCCAGTGTTATTTCTGATTTAATTACTTATTAACCAACAAAATATATACTACCACAACACTGGTATTCTTGACTTTTCAAGTTTAAAGTGAACTTTTTTTTAACCAACAATGAAGACTTCCCCCCAACACTGGTTCAAATACAAAAATACATTTAGAGTTCCAGCTGTATATCTGTAGATATGGCCAAGTCAAGCTGGCCCACTATCAACTACATACATTTATCTGGAAAAAGTTTCGGTTACCTGTGAAATCTACATGTCAATACATTGTACATTAAGTACTCTTATGTTATATTATTATCTATTCAGACAAACTATGTCACACTGATTCAAATAATCTTGTATGATAAATATAATATATATACATGTATATATATATATATATATATATATATATATATATATATATATTTTCCAGACAGTATATGTCAATACCTTAAATGTGGTATATCATATATAGTTTTCAAACATAAATCATTCTGAATTTGTATTTTTATATGATATATATATACACATATAGACGTGTTTTTAAAGATGATATATATTCTGAAATTCTGTCTTGGTCCTTACACATTATCTTCTGAAAGCATGTATCCTTTTGACTCAGAGCTTGTACCTTTTATATAACGTTCCGGACACCATGTAATATAATTATGAATCTGTACTCACGTTATACATGTCTATATGCATATATATATATTTCAAGTCAACATATATCAAGCTAGCTCAATACTTATATATATATTTAATGACATGTATCCTTCTGACACAGTTGATATAGTACCTCAGTACTCATATATGGATGTATATATACCTATTCTTTGATAATAACTCTATAAATTCAATTCTTATAAGACACATGTGTTTCCTTCCGACTCAGTACTTCTTATATAATATGTATATTCAGACAGCATATATCATTCTGATTCAGTACTATTTTACATTCATTTTTTGCAAAATAACATACAACATTTTGCTCCGATCTCCTTTATAAATCAGAGAGATACAAGTGTTTTGTGAATTTGTAAATTATTATTATTGTGTACACATAATTATCATAAATATTAATTGTCAATCAATATCCATCCAAATGTACAACACTATTACTGTGTCCATTGTATATAACATCAGCTTGTTTTTTTGCACAAAATTGTCATCATTCATCAGGAAAGCATCCGTCAAAGGAATGTTGTAAAACAGTCTCCGTTTTTTCCCCATTCCTTAGTAACGCATACAATTTTCCATCAGTACTCCAAGACCGTTCAACACACTCGAGTTCAAAATCTGCCTTTAACCTCTGTTGGTTGAGACGTGTCGAGTCCTCCATAATGAAATATCCTAATCCCTTTAACACTTTCCTCTGCTGTATGACTTCTATTTTCTTCCTTCTATGAGTAAACTTACAAATTATGTTTCGTGGTTTTCCCCGCTGGAAGACACCAAGCCTATGGGCTATATCTATGTCTACCTCTGAGATCATAACTTTCAGTTTGTCCTGAACAAACCTTACAATTTTTCCAACACAGTCTTCAATGGTCTCATTATTGTCAGTATCCTCAAGGCCTACAATCCGTACAAATTTTTTCTGCTGTGTTGCTCTAAATCATTTTGTTTACTTTTTAACTCAAACTTTTTTCCCTCGCAATCTCTACTTCCTGCTCAAGTTTGCTGACTGTCTGTTTCAATTCCTTATTCTGTACTTCTAAGTAAAAAACACGGCCCTCAAGTACCAGTTCTCAATTTTCTTTTTTAATTTCTTCTCTCAGATTTTTCATCTGTTGGCTCATGTCTTCTTTGAGTGTTGAGAGCATAGCAAATGTGTTATCTAGTTTTTCATCTGTGGACATTTTCCCTTTGAAAATATCACTATTTCGTCCTGACTGGAAACCCTTGGATTGCCCTTTACAACCACTAGTGCTAGCACTCCGGGTAGAAGCCTTTTTTTAGAGAAAAATACGGTTCACTGTAGGAAACACCTTTCACAATATATACAGGAATCCTCGTGTGAAGAATAGACAAGCTACATGTACAGTAGTTGACAGTGGCCAGTATAATGTTCACTGAAGCATGGTGAGAGGTGTTTTTTGTCCAAAAGTTCTTTCCTCAAAGTACTGAATAGGCAGAAGAAATCTGCTCTATAAACACCACAATTCTTTTCTACAATGCATCAAAAATCACCAATTTCCATTTTGAAAGTCAAATTAGTTGATATAGAAAAACACATTTCTTGTAGAGAGTAGTACACACAACTCAGCACTGGTCCAGCTCTACAGTCATTTTAAAAGTTTTAATCATAACTATTAAATACATAATTTCAGAAAAAAAAAGATAATGAAAATTATTTCACACCAAAATGAAAATACAACAGTACAAACATCATTACACAAACAGAGAAATTATGTATATAGTAATCACGATTCTCATTCGCCATCAGTACCAGCCAATTACATGCCTTGGCTATTGTGTACTTATTACCATGCTTCTATACATCATCATGGATGTTGCTTTTCAGTATTTTACTGTTGAAAAATCTCATGCCTTAATTTCATCATGTCCTACCCTGATGTAGAGCTCATAGACACTGATATAGTCGATACGTATCGCACCTGACATCATTGTGACGTTTTTGGTTCGTATGCACTTAGCGTAAAATCACGAGACAGGAATTTGAAGCAACATTAACATCGACATCGAATTACAGAAAGTTCAACCTCTAAATGACATTTATGTAATACCGAATTTATATTGCCAGAAAGAGTATTGTCCATCTGCATAGTTTTCATTTTTAATTTTTAAAGGACGATTAAACCCAGAGGCAGGATACGACAATATTTGGTCGGAAAATTTGGTATTTTGATGAGTTTTTCGTTGGAATTCAGATCGTCGGATTAATTCTGTCTACAAATGACACAAATGCTTCCGTTTCCATATAGGCTACAAGGTTACAGTTTTAAAAATCGGTATCGATGTTAATGTCACTCATTAAGGACAATTGCCTTAGTAACAAGTCAAAAGATTTTTGAGTTCTTTTCAAAAAGACATGGGTCGCTGTATGTATACTAGAAATATGCTATAAATTCTACTGTACGTCAACAATTCTGCTGTAAATACACAAACAAAAATACTCTCTGGATACCCAGTACTATTAACATAACCTGACAGTATCAACAGCGACAAGTTGCTGGGTTCTCGGATAGGAAATAACAACACCTGATGTGTTGGTGATGATGAAAGTTAAACACATACCACACATATGAATTTATGCGAAAGTTTTGTACAATGGTAACTGTGTACTCCATACCATAAGGACGAAAACAAGATATGAGATATTATCATACGACTCTCGTCAACCCTTTCATCAACACTACCGCGTTGTAAAATATCGTGACGTCACCGATCTTGGAATTTGTTACATTGTATACTTTGCATTAATACGTTAATGAGTAAGCCTTCAGGGATCAACATTAACATACACGCGTACAGTTTTACATTTGAAAATTGAAGACGAATCTGCTTGTGACATTAATATTGAACAGCATAGACAGGGGAAAAAATCAAGAACTTCGCGTATGCCATTCTTGGTTGGCTAGCTAAAAGACTAAAAGAAATATAAGATGTAGAAGATATAAGAAAATGGGGAACAACATAGTTTATCTTTCTTATTTGACAGCGCGTTGTTAACCATCCACCTTTCTGTGATTAACAGTGCTAGTTGAAATGTATGCTGGAGGGTTGTTGTAACCGGCCTGCAACGTTTTTATTCATTTCGAATAATGATATGGTTTAGAACAAACATGTACCTAATGTGTATCTTGTGTTATCTTCGTGTTCTCGACCATAATGTTGAACTAAAATGATATAACAAGGTTGCTCGCTAAAATTTTCACTGAGAAGCTTTGTGTTGATCTTCTTGTTCCCCAGGTTGACAGCAGCGGTTGAGTATTGAAATCAATGGCACTTGTCTTCTCGATATTTTTCTCGGAGAATGCGTCTGAGAATTTTCCCTGAAGGAGACTTAGGAACTTGTTCTACTATTTCAACTCCTCCTCGGAGCTTCTTGTAGGGTGAAACGTTATCTGCAATGACAATTTAAAATCATTTTTTATTCATTTTTTTGTTAAAAGTGATAATTATGTTAATGTATTAAATTCCAAATTGATTTCGCTTAATATTGTTTCTTAGTTGTTAACTATCAAATGTAGTCTTTTGAATGGTGCGAGAAACCACAAAAGTATTATTTGTTTGCACAACTGGCATCTTCCATCTCCAATCTTCAGAAATTATGTACTGCGCCATATGACTACAGCGAGCCTTACCTTCGACATATTTTGACACGTTTTCACATGATAGTGTTTGGTTTGGTTTGCTGACCACATAAGCTCTTGGCACTTCGCCTGCATCCTCATCCTGGACACCGATTACAGCAGCGTCCTGAATGCCCGGATGTCTAAGTAGAATGTCTTCCAGTTCAGCCGGTGCTACCTTTGTAGTAAAATATGTACACAGGAGGTCAATTTAAAATTATAACACTTTGTGTGCCACTGTCTTTTCGCGTCTATCAAACAGGAGGTGACGTCATTAAAATAATTACATTTAATTCAACTACTGGTAATCAGTTCGACATTTTATCGCAATGCTGTATTCTATTGATTAAACACAGATATTCCTTAGAAAAAGTATTTTTGATAAACAAAATGCGTAGAAGGTTTATCATAGGATATAACATGTTATAATCTAGAGTAGGTACCAGTTTGTAGTAATATATAATATATTGAGTCGATCGTTAAATACAACAATAGATAAAAGAATAATAGTTGTGGTTATTTGATGTATATGCAGATGACTCTCCTGCCATTATGCAGTACCTGAAATCCCTTGTACTTAATCAGTTCTTTTTTTCTATCTGTGATCACAAAACACCCGTCATCATTCACGTAACCAACATCACCTTCAAAAAGAATAAAACCAGTTAGATATTGAAATCATATTCATTCATTCTGTTATGCTTTGTCATCATTTCTTTTATCAATTCTTAAAGAAACAACGATTTTTTTCAAGTATAAATAAACAAAATAAATAAATGAAATATTTAAAAGAAAAGTATTGACAACAATTATTCTAATTTCAGCAGTCCTGAATAACGTCCTTAGCCACACCTGATTGTCATTATTATTATAAGAAAGATTTACAACAGAAATGATAATCATCCGTCGGTGCTAATTGATTATGGTAGAAGCAAACAACGACACCGATGACACGAGTACCTGCTCGTACCTGTATGAAGCCACCCGTCTCTAATTGTTTCGTTTGTAGCCTCTTTGTTGTTATAATATCCTTTCATGACTTGCGGTCCCCGTACACAAATTTCGCCCGTCTCACCATGTCCGAGTTCAGCTCCCGTCTCTAAACTGACAATCTGTACAGTCCGAATTAATAGACACGCGGCTCTTCAAAAATGCATACCAGAGTGTTATTTATAAATATTTGCGGAAATATCCATTTTTTTACTAAATCAAAAACTACCACGAGTAAAAGATCATACACGCGCATCGACATTTGTCGATGTGATAAATATGTTTTATAATTTCTTGTTTTACCTTTGCACCACTATTAGGCACCAAAAATCCAACAGTTCCAGCGTGAATGGATGATTCAGTATCTATGGTGGCAACTGGACTCAGTTCTGTCATACCGTAGCCTGAAACAAAGTACGTGGTACTATAGGACATGATCTAACTCATACCGTTCCAGTGGATATGCAAATTTGATTTTGAAATAGTAGATCCGAGATATTCTTGACGTATGCACTCGGTGAATTATCCATTTAGTGGTGGTATGCTTTATAAATTCGCCAATATATATCTATTTTCATAATTAATTGATAATGCAATTAAGTGCCAATTCTAATACATGTTAGTTCTCCAACATGTAGTACCCATATCACGTAACTGTCAATGGACAATTTATATTGGCCTTTCTTTGGGAACCGCGTGTCGTTGACATTTCCCGCAGTTCATATTTAGAGTATCTAGCATTGTTTTGATTGTACTTCGATTTAAAATGACATGACTGGTTTTGAATTGCGAACAGTCTTTTACGCAAAACTTAACGTAAATACCAACATAATCATAATCCATACTCAAATTCAATAAAACTAGGGCAAAATATGAACAAACGAAGGATTTGCACGGAGACCCCTGAATAAGTACAAGGAGTATAAGTCCACATGTTCCGGAAGAACAAGCATCTTCTGCTTCAGTCATGTCACGTTCTTAAATGATTACAAGGTATACAACAAACGAACAAACATGTAAACTAACGACCATAAAGCACGTCCAGCTTCACGTCGCACAAAGACATAGAATAGTTTTTAATAAGATCACTATGACGACCGTGAAACTTTGTAATAATTTCCATCAAACTGCATCTCGTCATAACCTAAAGTATAATAACAACATCGATGATGTACCTTGAATGACTGTTGATTTGAATCGGTTTTCGTATTCGTTACACAAGGAGACAGCCAAAGGCGCAGCGGAAGAGCAAGACGTTTGCACACTGGTTAGGTCATACTTAATCACCATCGGATGTTTGGCCAGGAATAAGACGATAGGTGGAACCATGTGCAGTATCGTCACCTAACAGACACATTCATAACAAATATTAAAAAATAATAATAATTTCTGGTAATAACTTAAATAAAATCTAACATTAGATAGACTGCGCATGACTTGTAATAGTTACCCGGCCTACCAAACAATGACTTACCTCTAAAAACATTAAAAAATGAATAGTAACGTTTAAACACGCATGTTTGAAAATAATGGAAAACATTATCAACGATCATTCAAATCCATGTCAATAACATGCACAACCGTTATAAATCTTAGTTGTTATATCTATATTCATATTGCAATGTGCAATTGGGTCATACATATTTACCATCGGATGTAATATTTGCTGTATTTGTCTGTAATAGTAAATTTAACCTGTCATAATTAAAACATCAAGTAAAAGTCCAAATATCTATTTGAATCTGATCTGTTAAGAAATTACATTACTTTCCTTATCCAGGAATATCAATATCCAGAAATGCAAATTTATAAAAATTAAATCTTGTTTAATGTTTTTTAGACCAGAACATCATATCTTAATTCATTGATGGTTAGACTCTATATCTATACAATATAAGAGCGGAGTATTATAAGTCCATGTATTGCCAGGCAGTATCATGATAAATTCAATAATTTCAACAGTGACAGATAACTTACTTATTATAATGACAAAACACTTCTCACTTTAAATTCGGGTGATATTTTTTTCTTACTTTGTACTTCTGAATAGCAGTGAGGAAAGATTCGGGTTCAAACCGAGGCATGGTTACCAGAGTGCCTCCCTCCTGGAGAACCCCCATCAGTAGGGGTATCATACCGTAGCAATGGTAGAGAGGAAGTATGCACAAACTCGTGTCATCATCGTTAGGTTTTGATATCGTTCTGTATAAATATAAAAGATAGGTAATTGTCTAATTTAGATTTTTGTCATTAGAGAAGGTATTAAACAAGCGTCATTCATTTTCTCAGAATCGTTTCATAAATTTCGTAAGAAATGGAAACTGACGTAAGATCCTTTATATATAAATAATTATATCACAAAGTATGTAAGTGTAGTGACAATGATGAAAAATCATATTGTATACTGTAAGTCACTTTTTCGCAAGGGATTATATTTCTCATGTATTTCAGAATAGCGTCATTTGCAAATTAAAATCCTTTGCTAACACAATGTTACTGATGTCCTTAAATAAATAATGACCTATGTAATGTTGTAACAGCGAAATCATGTATTCGCGAATAAGACAGTCACTTGCCTTTCGCGAAATTAAATACTCCTTAAAATAAGTGATTGCCAGTAATAATACCTAAATTTCCTGTCGTGCACGAGAAACATGTTGATATTTACATTCTCTTCACAAACACAAAGCCTTAGTATTACCTACCTGAATTGTTGCAGATTTGAAACAATATTCATGTGTGTAAGCATAACACCCTTTGGGAACCCTGATGTGCCGCTGGAATAGGGTAATAACACCACGTCATTGTGTGGATCAAAGTCTATGTTTTCTACAAAGAAGCCACCATCGTCTTCTAGGAGAGACGAGAACGGTCGATATTCATTCGCCTGGCCAATCACGATGACATTCTGCTCAAAAGTATAAGATATTTCGATTATACACATTTGGTTCGCTTTTTTTGAAATGGAATATAATTTCATCAATGCGGACATCTTACATCATCTTCCAGCTACAGTTGTATTGAGACTGAATATAATTTGTGATCAGAAAAATGGATTGAATATAGGTTAAAACAAGGCAAATACCATACACCAGATCAGAATCATTAAAGATTTTTTCCCCGCCAAACTACAATTCAGTTACCTTTATATTGTTTTGAAGATTACGGTCTGCCTTTATAACCTCTTTGACATGTGGCAACAGGGCATCAATGACTATGACACCTGTTGACCCTGAATGATGGAGATGCCGTGCAAGTTCATCTGAAGATGAAAATAAGATTTACATGGCGGATGTCTCATTGGCCAGTTTAAGAAATTACTTGATTTAAATCCGTAAATAATAATGTGGGATATACCATTTGAGAACCCTTGAATTTTTATGGGATTTGAGTTTGAATTATGATTATGTTGCCATGTTGGTATTTTCTGATGTTTTTCATTTGCTGTAATGTATTTTTCGTTACCTAAAAAGTCAATGGCATGACAAATATTATTTTCACTCATATCATGAAGGACACAAAGACAGCATCAATTGAGCTAGCGATACTCTGGTGGTACAGTGGTATTGTCTGCGATGGTTGCGAAAATAAATCTTGCGGATATCTTTATAATTTAGTCGAGACAGGTAGCACATTCCCTATATCAATCCGCTGTATTGTGTTGTATATTTCAAAGATCGTAAAAAAGTTAATAGCAACTGTTAGTACAAATTTAGAATTAGATACAGTAGAGACAAACAATAAATTAAACTACATCATACAGTCGTCATTCGCCAGGGCCTACATGGTGAAGCCTGTGAGGCGGCTGAAGAGCATCCAAAAAGATTGAAAGAAATGTCAAAACCTCGAAAGAGAGGTTAAAATAAATGTTTTGATAATGTTAATAAGTATTGAACATGTCACGACTACAAACGGGTTAATGATGAAGTTGTCACGTACTTCTTTATGTTACCTGGGAATTGTGGGGATGTGTGTGTCACGTGAGCGGTGGTGTGAGCGGTATGCGAAAACAACAGGTTTTGCCTGTCCAGGTAAGCAGTACTGCCGTTGTTTTATGTCACCTGTTTGCCGATATCAAGGTGAAATTGGCGTCATTTTTTAGTGGTTATTTTTTGCCATATTTCCTATGTCCCTATCATAGGTCAAGCCATCTGTTATCGATGCGTGTTCGTTCATGCGTAGCTATCAGGGTTGTCAAATGCATGTTTATTTTCTGGATATAACGTGGAATTTGCTCGTTTTTGCAGTTGAAGTTCTTTTGTACATCTATATTTGCTAGTATGTTTTTAATATTTAGTTGTATAACTGCTAACTATCCATAGAAATGCTGTTACGTTCGAGTGAAATATGTATGGAAGCCGTGAGCGGTAGTCATGTGCGCGTGAACTGGCCGTATAATGTAATTCTTTTACATTGACATACATATAACCCATAGAATATTAGTAACGAATAATGGGTTATCACTTAATCACAATTTGTGGAAAAACTTTACAGTTTAGTTAAGGCAACTATAACGAGAATTGGTGGATGAGTGCTTAGTGTTCGTTTCGTTTATCTATAAAGCTTCACATGGCGGGTACAACATAGTAAAGGTTACAGAAGGTCAGAATTATTGTAGCACCAGGTCTTCCGCATGCTGTAACGGGACCGACTGACGTTAAGGACAGATGCAGGAGGGATTGTCTTTAGAACAAGCTGGCATATAGCTCCTCAGGAGACTGCTTATTGGTTGGTGTTGATGACCCATCAACCAGCCCCACAGAGGGAGAGATGCGCGTTGCGTTTGCACTATTAGCAAGCCGTTAGTGCGCTAGAAACTGTGAGTTATGTCACTTTCTTCTTAGGAACAGAGAGTCGTTCCACTATTATCGCACTAAGGAGTCAGTTGCTTGGAGTTATTTGCATCCCGCAAATTGACACACTGAGGCTGTGTATTTGTAAGACATTCCTGTCAGTGAAGAGACTGTAGCTATCTTTACCTGTTGCCAATGTGTATGGATGGAGTATGATTGTGAGTGCGAGTATGTTGATAGTTTTCTGTGTGTTTTCTATGTAAATAAACTGTAGTATATGTTCATTGTGTTACAACTCTGTGTTGATTTCCGGATATGCTGGACAGAGGCTCGTTCCACGTTACAAATGTGATACACCAAAAACAAACAATACATTTGGACATTAAATTATTCTTTTTCACTCGCCAATTCCAGAACAAAAGGATATCTATCAAACTTGATACCTACACATTATTAAAGTTGAAACACGTTTACCTATGAAATCTGATATACATATCTTTTGAACATGAAAATGCCAATTCTCATTATTTTCAAACATGGCGTGACAGAGGCAACCACTTACTACAAAAATTCTGGTAATCTAATTACACACGTTAGATAGATATATTGTAAGCAATGTTTTTCAATAATCTGTGAGAAGTTATTTACATATCTTTTCAGATAAATGTAACAAAACAATTGGTTATGACAGACATGAATTATGTGTTCTACTTACCAGAAGTGTAGACGGGATTCGTGGTAGTGAGTATAATTCCAGATGTCACACAAGCTAGTATGAGGATGGCGTACTCTGTATTATTAGTGGAACACATACAGAGTACATCCCCCTTTCTGTAACCCAATCTTCTAAGAGCACTGGCCACCTTTATCACTGCGTCCCTCAATTGCATGTAAGTGTAAGATTTACCTGTTTCGTTGTCTATCTGCAAGGTGTAAAACAATTAAAGACAATACGTGAGAGTAAACAGCTTATACAAGTCTTAGTTTAGTGAAAAGTTTAATGTTTATAGTTGAGCGAAATAATCATTTCAAAGTTAAATACTACATCTGAAATAGAGATCTGAGAAAAAACAATTCTGGGTAACCCCAAAAGCATTTGCAAATATATCTTTGTTATAAATATCAATTATTTACAATGACATTTTGTGCATATATGAATTTTGTTCATATTGATGCTTTGTGTATCATTTTTATCTTTACCAGATTCTATTACACTCATGGCAAAAAGGCAACTTGACTTTTGCAAGAGATATAAAATCATAAGAGTTCATGACCAACTTAATGTTCGAGAGAGATATTGTTATAGTCAAAATCGTGAATGACATGCAAGTGTGGATATTTTTTTTTGTTTTATAAAAGATCATATTAAAGTCCCTTTCAACTTGAATTATTTCAGAATGTTTCACTTACAAGTGCCAGTCTGTTTCCAAACATCTTGAACTTTGGAAGGAGGTATTCCGGCAATGACTCTGTCTTAATATCTACATCCGCAACAGGGCTTTTGTATATTACTTGTGCATTTGTCGTTGTAGAAAACTGCACCCTTGAAATCACTCCACAAGTCGAATTTCCCAATCTTGACCAGTTCCAATTGCTTTTCGACCGGTGTCTTCTATGAATCCCTCTAGCGACCAATGTAAAAAGCCTTTTGGAAGTAAGGGCTGTCTTGCCCAATCCCTTCGTCAGAGTTGACATGTTAACTAAATAAACATTAATTGTGCATGATCAACACACTGATCAGGTTTTATGACATATAAAGAATAAATGTTATGAAATCAACCTTGTAGCTCAATGAGATTCAGTTATCTAATTTTATGTAAAGCGCCATAGCAACATGAAACTATGAAAATGTAAGCAAATTTTAAGTCGTTATCCTAGACAATGAAAAAAGCATGATGATATTTCACTCAGCATAACACCCGGTGTTCAAGTCAAGTAATGTCAGGTTCTTATAGAAATAAAATAGGCAACGATGACGAATTATTGATAGTGTCAATATATGAGAATTAAACAGACACCAGTATTACACTTAATGAGTTCATATGGCGTCCAGGAAATTTTATCGTGGTCTTTATCAACCTATCTCGATCAGCAGTCGACATCTTTTCTACATTCAATAGTATTGCATAGGACACGACCTAAGTATTGGATATGATCTTCAACACCTATATAATAAAATGTTGTTTATTGACCTCAAGAGGTTCATTTCTCGTATACACTGAGAAAGTGTGTATAAAGTTTGTGTGTATCGAACCACATCAGATAGGCCTACAAGGAAGTGAATATTTTTAGAAGAGTTTTTAATCAGCATATATGGACGCGTTTTCACTTTTCTAATTATACCTGTCGTGTGCTAGTAGATCCATGTCACTGTAACACGCAAACCTAGGCGATATCGTGGAAATGTTTTAACTCTTTTAACTTCCTGATATAGTCTGTATAATGTTTATAAAATGTCGTATTATGATGTAGTTAATATATGCGGTGCATTTTACCTGCGTAATCTAAAAATAGTATTGCACGCTACTGTCAGTGTTTGAGCAGATTTTCGCAATCTATCTATCTCTGAGGGCCGTCATCTGTTTGTTAATGTCAAATCTAGATTTCCATAATTTTCATCTTGCTTTAAGCTATTAAGATACAAAAAAAATATACGAGAACTAAATCAGGATCCGGATTCACATAAATTTTACACGGATATGTCATTAATTAGTGTCCTATTTTCATTGAAATGAGCCACAGCGAGGCTAGGGTTTTAAAGCCAATTACAATATGTAAATAGGCCAGTTTAGCCCGACACAGCATTGACCTAAGGTTACCTCACCTATTCATAGACTGTCTGGTAACGTAATAATACCTAGACCGTCATATGCAATAGTTTATAAACAAAGGTATATTTCTTTCTTGATGGACAATGTTGTTAAATTTTGACAGTTTAAAAACATTGAAGTTTACATTATAAACAACGTAATTAATTCAAACTATGAGAGTTATGCATTGATAAGGTTGCATGAACACATCTACAGCGATTTCAAAGCACGTTGTACTTGAACGGTCACGTACAATAAAACACAAAGTACAAAATATCCAACTTGAAGCTGTAATATACAATGTGTATATCTAATTTGAAAATAAATGTAAGCCATATTTTAGCTGTCAACATAGCCTACATAATGCATTGACGAAATGAACGTCCTTTATACAGCTTTCAAAGAACTATTTTACTTGTACTCTAAAGTCTAATCTGTCCTCTTGTTGACGATAAGGTATATAAATACATATTTCATTTATATCGGTCGTAGGAAAGTTTTAAAACTACAATATTTACCTTGAAAACAGTAATGTTAAGGGGAATATTGTAAGCGTATCCTATTACGTTACGATAAAATCTTCCTGTTTGTGTCGGAAACGACTTGTTTTGACAAAATAACTCTCTATGACTAACATGGTGGATATAGAATATATACGATGTATAATTTAAGTTAGGATACTGGTATTTAAATGTATTCTTAAAAACAGGTAATAATGTGTATAACGTTAAAAATGACAATGGGACATCACAAATGTTAAACTCAAAGTTGTTTCAAAATTTTGGACACAGATGGTAATACTGTTCATTGGTATATCGATGCAGATAATCGGTTTGACAGGATCAGTTTGCTATCGATATAAAGGTATATCACTATGGACGATTATATCAAGATAGATTGACTTACCTGTTGTAATTGTTAGCTAGCTCTGAAGTCAACCGGACAAGTGCGTCTAACTGGTACTAAGACGTAAATGCACCGATTGTCTGATCAGTTTTCAATCTATATATATCTTGTGGTACAACACTAGCCTTTTGTACATACACGAATTGGTAGCGTTGACCTAGATACGGAAAACGAATGGAACTGCATATTATACAAGTGGTAAATTTTGTACCTGGTGCATAACTACGCTGACAATGTTCTGTCTGTGGTAATCCTTACATTAATCCGTCACCAAACATGACATCCATCATGTGGACTCTGACACTACGTATGACATCCGTCCTGTGGTAATCCTTACATTAATCCGTCACCAAACATGACATCCATCATGAGGATTCTGACACCACTTTGGTATTCATCCTGTGGTGTTCCTTAAAGACACTGGCTCCTGTTCTGTGGTCTCTTGTCACCTTGTTACATATCGCACTATCATGAAGAACCTGACATCACACATGACATCCGTCGTATGGACTAATATCACCTGACACCGCATCTTATAATAGTCCACATCACAGATGGTGTTTGATAAATGATCAATCGGTTGGAAGAGCTTAGAATACACCTTTGATTATATCAAAGTTTCGAAGTTTAAACAGTTTGGTCGGCAGTGTTTGTTTTTAGATTATCAAAGTACACCATTGTGTTCCTTTCATTATAACACACCTATCTAGAACCATTCACAACCTCAGACATTTACTTTTCTGTGGCTATGACTCTTGGATGGGGAGAAATGTTTCAAACATGTAACGATATTGTCATAAAATGATGACGCTATGTTTCTTTTCAATCTTATAACCGGTTCTAAATTAGCCAATCAGAGGCTCTGACGGCCATACTTGAACGAAAAAGAACAGCCGAATGTACAATTTTGCATGATCATAAACGCTCATTTCGTTTGAATGTGACACATGTTTTATCAGAAACGTCCGAACACCTCCTGGGCCTCTTAAATAATTTGTAGTGTCTTAATAAACCGATAATTTCCTTAAAATCAAATGATATATTAATTCTGACTAACATAAGGCCGTTAATTGGCAGCCATATTGTTGAAAGGTGAAACCGGGGATATAATAGTGATTTTTGTCCTATGACAGACCTAGGTATCAAATGTGATGGAAAACCGACAATATTTAAAGTTGTTCCAATCAGGAGTCTGATACCCGTGGCCATTTTTGTATGAAAACTATCTTGAATATGCAATCCGGAGAAGAAAAGTAAAACGCACAACTGAACAGATGCGTATGTATGTAGAATTTCATAGAAATCGAAGAGGCAGTTTCTGAGATTATCATAGACAATCACGACGGAAACTTAAAAAAAGGACAAAAGCCTTCCTTTTGATGAGGTAATACTAATGATATAAGCAGACTAAATATCGGAGTAAACGAAAACGGTCATAGGTCAGAACCAGAACTAAACTTGTCAGGTAGGTTAGCAATTCATTTGTTACAGAGTGACTTAAAACTTTAATCAACAATCAACAAATAACCGACTATTTAACCGTCTTTATTCTACAAATTTGTTTTAAAAATTAATACCGTTTACACACTTCGGCAATATCATTCACACAGTTAGCTTTAATGAAATATATAAAAATATGATTTTCATATATATCTATATATGCACATTTATAAACCTCAATGTTGTGTACCCCTAGCCATCTTTATGAATATCTATAAAATTGATATTATCCACAAATTAACATTGTGAGGTTATAGAAAATTAATACTAAGTAACGATTATGTTAATCTTCACATACTTCAATGCTAGATAAAAAAAAACACACAAATAAACGACAAGTAAGAACAGAAAGAAAACGCCAGCAGCATTTTCATACAAACTCGGATTCGATGAAACTAGGAAACTAAAATTTACATGGAGACCCACCAAGACCAAGTGTTCCGGATAATTTGTCTACATGTACATAACTAAGTTATGTCTCTTACATATTTCTCAAACACGTGTATATACCACTCATGAGCATTAATGAATAATGACACTCGTGTGAATTTCTTATATACACAAAAAAGTAAAACAAAAACACGTAATAGCAAAATAAAATATACGTATCATTGGATTTAAGAGAATGTTATTGGTAAAACATTTATTTTGATCAATATTTCGTACTAAAGATGCACAATAGTATATATTACATTTTCCCTCTCAATATCATCTTAGGATGATTTTAATTATAGTTACATTATTCCTCACAAAGACGTAGGTGGTTAAATGTCTGCATGCTACAGTAAAATTGTAAATACTGAAATGGTTCAAGAAACTTGTAATAAGTTCTTAAAAACAAAAATGATATATATCATTTCGAATCTGAAACAATAATTTTTTTCCATAGATTTAGAGCCACTTTCATTATCTAAACCTTCTTTGAAGACAGACACTTAGTATACAATAGCAATCTTGAAAAAACATCGTTTAAACGGCTATTAGTAAATACAAAATTAAATCGATTGCAAAACAATTATCAATGTCACAGATGTAACATGTATCACTCCATCAGCATTATAATGAGGGACGTATAAAAAGGCACTGCTTATATATTTTTGTTATATCATAGCAAAATAACTTATCCCCCTTGCTGTAGAGATTATGAGAAAATAACATTCATTTAGTTCTTCCTTAATGTACAGCTAATGGTACTTTTTCTATTGGTGTGCTATTGAAGTAATCCCATTTTAAACAAATTAAAACAAAAATTAGCATGTGATAACCATAGAATAAATGTAATCCGCATATCATAATGTGTCATACTATACCATATTCTATCAAATAAAATGTAATACTAAAGGGTTAATATGTCTAATGTTACTTTCCCTTGCAACACTCTTGCAAATTTCAATATGTTATTTCTTGGTTAAGTTTATTGTTAAAACGGAAGTATTCACAATTTTGGAGCCTAGCTTATCAGTGTATTAAAACATTTCCTATTCTGTGAAAAGAATTTCATGAAATATCAGGACTATTGATAATTTCATTTTTCGATGTCAATTTCTCATAAATAAAAAAACAAATATCATTAATGTAAGGCGCTACAACTAAAATGACATATACTAAATGTTCTTATGAATATGTATGTTATCAATCTATGACACGTCATCATACTTTCGCGCTGAATTCGTCCCTGAGAATTCGTCGCAGGATTTTGCCTGATGGCGACTTTGGAATTTCCTTCATCAACTCTACTCCACCTCGTAGTCTTTTGTACGCTGATACATTGTCTAAATTAACAAAATGAATACTAATTAGTTAATTAACAGTACATTTCATTTAATTGTTTAATTACAATAAATAGTATTATACATAAGCAATCACCGTATTGTGCTGAGCGTATCTATTTAAGTACGTTATATATATTGCTGACATTAACTTGTTATTTTTAAATAACAACATTCTCATTAAAGCTGTATGTTTGATTTATTTTACCTTCAACAAACTTGCATACGTCCTCTTCACTCAGTGTTTGGTCAGGCTTAGGCACTACGTAAGCTCTGGGTAGCTCCCCTGCATTCTCATCCGGGACACCTATAACAGCCGCGTCCTGAATACTCGGATGTTTGAGCAATAGATCCTCTAACTCGGCCGGGGGAACCTGACGTAAAAATTCCAAGGCAAGTGAAGAATAAGTAGAGATACCTTCTAAACTGAATGTGATTTATTTTGCGTATATCACCATAGATAAATATACACAGATATATATAAAAGTTACCTTGTTGAAATAATTTCTAAAACGCATAAGTCGTTTTTATTTCAACGTTTACTTATCATACCTTTATTTCATCGTTTTACATCTATGTAACCGACTATTTTATTTGTATGTATAATGCGATATTATAAAGTTCTAAAAAACAAAATACAGAACATTTCTTACCTGGTATCCTTTGTACTTTATGAGTTCCTTAAGTCGGTCGGTGATGACTAAACAACCGTCTTCTCGCACGTGTCCTACATCACCTGCAGTAACATTGTCAATGTTTAACTCTTTGTCTAATTTGTCTAATTAATTGCAATTAATGAACTAGGTTGCTTGTTACGGAGATTACTACACAGCTATAAAAAACAAAGAAAAAAAATACCGACATGTCAATTAGGGAAAATTATTAACAAAAGACTAATGAAAAAGAACAGGGATAAGACCAGGTGTTCCAGAGGGGAAAGTCGCTTCCGCTTCATCGACAACTATCACGGAACTCATGGTCAATGAAAGTAAGTAATGTCACGTTCTCAAATATAGCTTAAACCATATAGTAATAATACGGCGAACTAACGAGCATAAAAAGTCCATTTCACATCGCCCAAGGAAAAAGAGACTATTTCAAACGTTGTCTGGAAATTATTTAAAAATGCACACGAACCAATTTAGTAAAAATTTGTTTGTATGTATATGATCGGAAGCCATAGATTATACAAGGAAATGTGTACGTTTGTATATGATTAGTCAACAATTCAGTTAATTGATGTATTGTTTTAAAATGAATATTCTCGCTTTACAAATTTGGTAATATAACATTATGAATTCGATATCATTGACATCAGTCGGACACTCCTAATGGATGTCTTTTGTATCAATGATTTGTCCCTTAACTGACTGTGTGTGTAAATACATTTCATAAGTTGTACATAAATGTCGATCACTTTTATTTGCTTAATACACAAAATATTTCCTGCAAGTATAAAGTATCAATTATTTCGAATTAACAAAAGACGTCTTTATTTTTATTATATATATAATATGAGCTGAATGATAAATAAATCTTTATCACACAACCATAAGAAATTATTTTCATAACAAGATAATACCTGAATACAGCCAACCATCCTTTATCATTTCATCTGTGGCCTGCTGATTGTTAAGATAACCTTTCATTATCTGTGGACCCTTGAATACCAACTCTCCTGTTTCACCAATACCCAACTCAGCCCCCGTCTCCGGATTGACGACCTAAAGGCATATAGTGCATACAGAATGATTACGTTTGTTATTGGTTTACGTCCTACTAACAGACAGGGTCGTTTAAGGACGTGCCAGGTTTTGGTGGTGGAGGAAACCCGGAGCTCCCGGAGAAACACTACCGACCTCCGGCCAGTACCTGGCGTCTGCCACATGAAGGGCTCGATCCCGTAACCAAAAGATGGAGCGCCATTGCTTAAGACGGTCAGATGCCTTAACATCTCGACCACAGCGGCGCTAGTCCGCATACAGAATGATAAAATCCAGTCAAAAAGAACATGAACTCAACAAAACAATGAGAGGATATCACATGCTCTTAGATACTAAAAGTTTTCTGATGAAATGTGTAAGGAATTAATTTTCCAACTTAATTATATTAAATATATATATGACATTAGAATATCAAACTAGACTCTAGAAAATATATTTTAATTGGCCTCAAATTTCGTTATTTTCCATAACAAATACATTTCTGTTGACTTTTGATTTCGAGGAACCACTAGTGTTAATTATGTATTCTTAACTGTTGTTTACATTGTGGAGCAACAGATAAAGTGTAACAACGAACACAATCAAGGTAACACCATCACTGACAGTATCAGGAAATGAGAAAAATATTGCAGTACTGAAGGGGAAAATAAGATAATCTTACATCACTTTCTCGGTAGAAATTGAAGAAGCACGCGGCGTTAAATGAATAAATATTGTTTGAAATATGTGACAAATAGTCATGATAGGAACAAAACTGACAAGACAACAAAGTAAACCGAGAAAATGTAAAAGAAAAAATGTGTCATAAAAATTATGCGAGTAACTGAAAATTATGTTTATATTAAATAACGTTTTGCAAAAGGGTATGATTTACCTTTGCCATTGTATTAGGTAAAAGTCGACCAGTGGTTCCTGGATTAGGAGGAAGGGTATCAACTGCTAACACTGGAGACGTCTCCGTCAAACCGTAACCTAAAACAACGAAACAAATCCAGGTAATGGTTATCGAACGCAATAGTATGTACATTGTTTCTAAACTAAACTAGCACAGTTGCTAATTGCATTGGACTCTTTATAGCAAACATCCTTCATTTTCCTGATGATAGTAATTCAAAAATGTCGTCGTAAGTTTGTCGTAATACGGGTTTCTTTTCAAACACGATTTACATGTGTTTTTATTTGTTTTATTGAACGATGCACTTTTCATTTTCCAGTCATAGAAACAATGTCTTTATGGCTGTTTGCGTTAACTTATGATTTAATATAGGAAATGAAGTAACCATCAGATTACTTATCAGGGCACATCATCATTGGACAGGGAAAATTCCTCTTACATGTTTCTCACTTAGTTCCTTGTTGCCTCGCAAATGTTGGGTTTTACGAAAGCATTCAAACAAAACAAATGACCGAGCTTTATCATAACGGAAACAAATTCATCATTCATATCTTCGAGATCAGTCCAGCGGCTTGCTTTCAAGTAACTGGGTTGCTCTCCTCAAACAGTATAATTAACAGTATTTGTGATGTTTTTACCGATGTCTTTCAACAAAAGTACCAGCAAAACAGACAGATTTGAAGGCAATATACCAAACATCGATACCATGGGTAACATTACTTATGCTATACATACCTTGCGTTACTGGAACGTTTAATCTTTTCGTAAATTCCTCAGTGATCGCTTCTCCTAAAGGCGCAGCACCCACCACCGTTCTCTTTAAATGACTGAGGTCAAATTGTGAAACGGCTGGATGTTTGGCCATAAATACGACGATTGGTGGGACGATATGAGCCATGGTTACCTAGCAATAAATCGTCATGTGCAAGTATTATTTCAAGTTAGTAAAATGGAAATCTCTTTCTTCAGCACGAAATAAATTAGTGTGTAGAGTTATTCTCAACTGCACTCGTTAACATTCGTTGCCTTGTTCAGCCAAAAAAAGTATTTGCACAAAATGAATATTTACCACGCAGTTCCTACAATATTCCACATCGTGTGGATCTTTCTGTGAGAAGGCTGTCTGTAATTACACACTACAGTAACGGTAACGTTTTACCAGTACCGAAAAGAGTAGTGTCTAACATTTTTTTTTTATATGTTTGCAATATAATAAACTAGCACAAAGCAGCTCGATTTCGAGACCTAATTATCTTGCTGATGAATTCGGTTCCAAACACATGTTATGTTACGTGAACTGGTAAGAAATGAAGTCACAAATGCATCATCAGATTTCAATCCTTTGAAAACAGTACACATGTTTTTACTGAAACGTATAAATGACTTCTACAGTACAATAGATAGTACTTCAAATTATAAATTGTTTCACTGCAGTATTTGCGTAACCACTGAACCCGCATCCAGTACATTCGCGTCCTATGTGATAGACCCAGAACAAATCGAAGTTTTGTGAACGAAAATTAGCATTTAAAAGATTGATCACTCAATATTTTTTTGTTGAAGCCGGCAAAAAAATTATCTCGTAACGTGTCAAAAATGCAGCCTTGACGAGTCACAAAGTACATCATCGTCGATAAAGTATTTACAATGTCAACCGGAAAATGCCATCGGGTGTATTACAGTACCAGTAATTTCAATTAATTAATTTCATGATGATGTGTACAGGCGTAAAAATGCTAATTATTCGTATATGTTTCAACCGACAATATTCTATTCAAAAAGACAAATGACTTCATTCATGATAAACAGATTTTCCTACAGATCTTCGATATGTTGTTATCTCATAATCGCGGAAAGGAATAATCGAACATTCCTATATTGCCCTCCCACACGGTTATTCGAACATTCATTGCTATTCCCAGAAAATACCAATATATTCATGCATAAATAACTCAATTAGATCTATCATTTTCATCGATCCACTGATGACTGTGTTTCCTTATTCGAGTAGACAAAAAGTTCAATATTCAATATACTGTATAGCGGGCTACTCTCGCGGGGATATTTTCGGTATTTTGCGTTACATTAACATGATCGCGAAAATTTAATCCGTGAAATAATGAGACACGTATGCGTCAAGATCTAGAAATTTATTATCCGTTTTTATACAATTCGACCGTTTCATTATAAAACGGGAAAATTATAACCCGTGAAAATTATCAGCCATACGGTATTAAACATGACAAAAAAATTACCTTTTGCTCTGACATAGCCTTTAGAAACATAACTGGGTCGAATTTCGGGAGAGTTACTAGTTTTCCTCCGTCCTGGAACACGCCCATCATGACTGGGATCATACCGTAACAGTGGTAGAAAGGTAGAATTCCTAGACTGGTGTCTTCCACGGTAACCTTAATCACTGGCCTTCCAAAGATATATTGTACAATTAGATACAGGAAAGACAAAAACATTGAATATAAATATCAGTCAAGCTTAGCCAGTCAATAATCAAAACCAGGCTATGATTTATCCGTCTAAAAGTTGTAAGAGGTTGTATCAAAACGAACAATTTTAAGAGAATGCGTCATATATCAAAGCCGATATTTTTGCAATTGCCGTATAGCCGGTCAATTTCGCGGGGGCGATATTGTCGCTATTGCGGTAGATTAATGTGGTCGCGAAAATCAAATCTGTGTAATAATAAGACACGTATATTAATTATTAATTAATTAAATAATTATTATTAAATATTTTAAATCGGTGCACATTAATTCCTTTTACAGAGACGAATTATAACGTGCAAGGCTATATATAATTCTACTGAACAAACTTTGTACCTGAACTGTTGAAGGTTAGCCACAAGGTTATGATTGGTAAGCTGTACTCCCTTTGGTAGCCCGGTGGTTCCGCTGGAGTAGGGCACCACTACCACATCATTCATCGGATCGATGTTCAGATTTTCTGGAAATGACTTGCCATCGTCCTCTAATAACGAAGAAAATGGACGACAACCTTCTGCTTCGCCGATGACTATCACTTCCTGTAAAGATGTGTTCATATATGTGAATCTTTTTATTTATAAACCTTTATTCCGCAGGTTTTCTAACTTTGTTTGTGTGTTTCAGTACTAGTTTTTAATATGAAATGATTAAATTATACATTTGGAATCTCGTTGCACTTTAAAACACAGGATCTATTATAAATCGTCTTTAGTAGTTGTATTTTTCAGTTTACACATATTAAGAAGTACCTTGATGACTGTCTTCAGTTTAGGGTCACTATCCAAAGCTGCCTTAGCAACGGGCATTAAAGCTTCGAATACAACCAAACTAGTAGATCCAGAGTGATTCAAGTGGCGAACAAGTTCCGCTATAATATAAATGGTTAAACAAGCTATTTAAGATGACTGAAGTATGAAAGACAGAAAGAAACAACTGGATTATGTAAAACATCAAAGGAAATATCAAAACATATAACCACTTATACATAAAAAGAGGGGGAAAGCTCTAAACAGGGAAGGTATTGTATCTAATAGCAGCTAACAGTTCTGGACACATTGAATATTTCCCTGTATATGCGTAGAGATTAGCTTCATTCACGCGTACAGACCCATAGTTCAGGAATCCATTGGTTAGGAGCTTTTGATTTCATGAAGGACGATTTCAGAAGCAACACAATGCTTGATACCTACCAGGAGTGTACGCCGGATTGGCTGTGGTTAGTATAATCCCAGAAGCTGCACACGCTATGAGAAGGATGCAGTACTCTGTGTTGTTGACGGAATACATTGCCATCGTGTCCCCTTTCTTGTAACCAAGTTTGTTGAGAGCACTAGCCACACGAATAATTGCTGCTTTAAGCTCAGGGTAAGAATATGTCTTGCCACTGGCGAAGTCGACCTAGAACATAAACAAGGTTGTGGAAACAGTGTAATTCATACTAATTGCCATTACTGATAGTAAATTATATAAGCGATCATTATCACTGAAATGGTTTTGAGATTTCCACAATAAGCGCCATCGACTCAGCAAACGAAGCTTATCATTCAGGAACACCTCGATCGGTTCCTTGTACTTCATCGTTCATTGTCCGTCATCATTTATCCTAAAATCGCCTCTTATCATAAGGATTTAGCGGATTTTCGTCAAATTCGGTAGCAAGTATCCTTGGGGAAGAGGGACAACTTTTGTTTAAATGCTTGTTCTCTTAGTCCCTTGGGGCCTTAGGGGTTGAGCCGAAATGGGACATTTAGCAAGTTCTTTAATAGCCATCTTCTCCCATGAAAATGATCGGCTTTTGTACGAATTTGGTCTATTGCATCCCTGAATAATTAAGAGTAATTTTTGGGTCTCGATCGCAAACAGGGGAAATACGGAAACTCCTTCAAAATTCTTCTTATTCCGCAAGGATTCCTGGATTTCGCTTGATTTCTCTCATAAACATTCTTAGGTGACGGGATTCAATTTTGTATAAACGGTGGGTCTGGATCGCCTGGTATAGGGCACGGTCGGGAAATAGAACGTCTTTAAAATCCTTCTTCTGTAAGAATGCACGGATTCTGTCCCTGGTCTGGTCTGAAGTCTCATTTGCTGAAGGGGAATCAATTTTGTATAGACATTTGTTCTCGCCTCCATCAATGAGCATAAAAAACATCAAACTTCATATCGTACAATGAAAAGGAATATTTCCCAATAAGATCATTATATAAGAACCATGAAACTTTTCCAATATCTTTTTCAATTATAAACATACAAACCAGTGCTGTTTTGTCGCCGAAATTATCAAACTTTTGAAGTAAATATTCGCCAAGAGGTTTCTTCGGTAGTTCCAGATCTTGCAGACTGCTCTTGAAAATAGTTTTTGTCGAACTGGAGGTACTGAATGACCTTTTATGAGCATTTTCTGCCACTGCCGATCGTCTGAGAGTAGCCAAGAGGCGGGAAACTTGTCTATGTACATGTTTTGTATTTTGGGAAGAGGATTTCGACGTCTGCAGTAGTAGTGATCCTCCTCGAGATAGAAAGGTGAGTTTGGTGGTTGTCGATGCCATCAAGAAAATATGAAGCCAACGTTCTGGAATGAAACGAAAAGGATAATTTATATAAAAAGCCAAGTGTCAAACAGACATGCTGATGATGTGCGAAAGAGCGGTACCTTTTTGTTTTTATCGTTCCACACTTGTTTTGAACTCACAAAGAGAAAAGATGAATAAAAGAAGCAGCAAATCGGACTAGCTTGATGACAATTACAGATATTTGTATTACAAACAATAATATAAGGGGGAAGCTATACCGAAGTCAACAATCAAGGGCGACAAATCCATGAAATATCGCACCAAATAAAAGACACGAAGAAAACTCACAAGAAACAAAAAATTAAAAATTAAACGTTTAATGTCAAAACTCAGTATCTCGGTGGTTTTGGGTGTAAGAACTCTCCAAAACCACACACAACACTTATTACGTTATTATCTCAAACCCTGCATACTGGTAGATTGACGATTTAAGAGGGAACAGACTTTTACACAATATGTTTAATATAGCGTAGTTTTGGTCCTTCCTGTAGAAAACTGGCTAATGAAGTAGAGTGTTTATAACTGATGACCACGATTTCAAAGACAGTGAAAGTCCTCATATGTAAGAAATGAATCAGGAGAGTTGAGTTTCAGATGAAATTGTTGTAAGGTAAGATCTAATCACAAGCCTTCAGAAGTCATGTTTGATTTCGGTGGTTATAGCGAGTTGACCATCACTCACATATAATAAGTAAATATTACGGTATGTTATCATGATGGAATGGTGTCTGGAATGGATTCTGACCTATATGGCACGTGACGAATGTGATAGGCTACTGTATACCGCTATCGGGGACAAAACCATAAAATGCCAATATCCTTCAAAAGATGTCCTTAGGTTACAAAACAAAACAGCCTCTTTATCAGTTCGTAAATATTGAAAAAAATACACGGTCAATAACAATAGACTTCAAAACTCTTGCTGAATGCCTATCCATATATATGCAAACGTCGGTTCACACATCACGAATTGTCACAAACTTAAGATCTGACACAAGGCGGAGACCGGACTGTTATATCAAAGTGTTACAGAAAGTTTCCTTCTAAATAACTATAAGAATTCAATCAGGTGTGTGTTTGGACATGAATAGTATCAATTATGATATTCGGTTAACGATTTCTATACAAATCCGTTTTTCTGTTTAAGATATGAAATATTTATCTATATCGCCTCACCCCACGAATTCCTTCGATAAACCGTCAGGTGAACGACCTTCACTTATGGACTCGTGTTATCTGGTTGACCGGGAAATGGCCGTACTCGACAGTTTAACAAGTCTGTTCTGTCAATGACACTTTTTTACTTTGATTTTGGGTCATAATGACTGTCTATGTTTATCTAGGAGGTGAAGTCAGTACAGTGTGAATTGAAAGCTTTGGTATTACAATCATAAGTGATGTGCAAGAAAGGTTTCGATGTCTCAGTCCCTTCTTTAGAACACGGGGCCTCATATACTTAACACTCATCACCCTATACAGAGTTATTGCCCTTTTATATATAACTCTTCATTCTGTCTGCGCCATTTGGTAGAACAAAATGTTGCATAGTAAGTTTCGTTGGTTTATCTGCCGCCAGACATTTTGTCCAAACCATGAATCAAAGACCTTGCTATTTATGAAAACAAAGAATGTGAAGGATGACGCATGTTTTACAGCGTGCAACAATTAGGTATTATGACACTCAATTTGCAACGTCATTGCTCTTTTGATATTGACAATAAATACAATCATTCTATTGAAATCATTCTATTTATCTGTCATCCTACTTGCATTCATACTGACAATACATTCAATCTGATAAAAGTCAGTTAGAATATCTCTCGCCCAGGTTGCATTTATGACTATAAATGTAATCTGACGAGCTGGGAAGTGGATTCATGATGAAAGAATTTTAAATCTTAACAGCTCCGACATAAAATAATCGTTGACCTATATATAAACAGATATCTCTTTATCACAGCTGAGAACAATCGATTTGTTGCCGCAAACATTCAGTCCATTAATTCAAATACAATGTAGTATTTTAATTAGAAATTATTTCTTCATAAAACGTTCAGAGCAACTGTTGTCTTAATCATTTAGTTCTGTTATTTAGCTTGAATTTTGGTCTGTGTTTACACTGCTTCGTGTGACTTTTAGTTCATTTAGGTGAAGGCGAGTTGATGTGTACACTTTAAGACACCCGTAACGTGTCGACATTTTGAACGGGCCATCACATGTACGTTGATATACGATATTTGTTGACGTCACATTTTGTGTCTAATTTTTTTCTCTCTGTAGTCTACGTTTGTTTATTCCTTCAGCATCTTTGTTGTACATATAAGGTTTCTAATTGTCAAATCAATAAATATATTTCTATACGTCTATTTAAAACTCTATTTGCTGATTCGAGGACACGCTCATCTGTCAAGTATTGAATAAATAATTGTATGTCAGGTAAACTTTTTTAATGGTGTCCAAAGGTTTTCTTCGAAAGTTTGCTCGTAATGGTTCAACGCAACACTGCTCCGGCTAGATATGTTTAGGAAATTTTGCATGGGGCTGGTGTTTTGAAATCGGTTTCTTAACATGTCTCCAATGCAAAGAATACAAAATACTATCCTCAGATCAGCAAAGGCTTAGGGAAGGGACATGTAAAGCGAATCTTTTAGTGAACATGTCAGTCACCTGTTGATATGGATTCCCTCGAGCTCTGACAAGTACTGACGTCAATGAGATTAGGTAAATACCTCCCGGACTAGGTCACTAAAAGTCGGGTCACATTAAACTACTGTCTCCATTGTTGTGTAAGCAGGTTGTACATTCTTTTGACACTAGAAAGATAAACTAGTTATAGTACCTGTATCGATAACAGTTCTTTTTCTCTGTTGATGCATGTATTAAAGCAGACAATGAAATTAAGTCGTCATTGTTTTATCTGGTCTTACAAAATCAAACTCTCGTTTGAGTCAGTTTCACTTTCAGTCAAGCATCGTGCATTTTTGTCCATTACCCGCCTGTTCGCCTTATTATAAATAGATAGTTACCACACACTGCAGCTGGTAGGAATGTTTATCTTGAATGCTAGATCAGTGACCGTGAAGGCGGTTCAGGAATGCTAGTGCTAATACATACGGCCATTAACATGGAACGAGACACTGTCAGAATGCACCCGACGTTACGTAACTAAACAACAATATATTTGATATAGCTTCTAGACATAGGTACGAGTTATATTGTTAAAAACATATTTCAGAGAGTATGCACGCTCATTAAACACTGCACTGATAATCATGTTCCTATCATGTTCAACATCTTTTATCAAAGAATTGTACAAAACACACACAACAGAATGCTATACAATATATATATATATGACCAACTAATTAAACAGGAACACACATAAAAATATTCATCCTTCTCCGCAGGGACGTATACTAAATTGCATAATTTATCCCTAACAATACATATGTTAAGTACTGAGAGTGATAATATCAAGTGTTTACGTTATATCTAGGCGAATGGTTCCAGCTATCTTTTTTATTTACTGCTTTGGTCGAGAACGAAATCCCGGAAGGTATTAATCCTAATGAAGGTATAAGGCGAAATATTCAGACGCTATGTTCCCGTAGAAAGTAATTAACACCGTCAGGTTTTCTTACGCATCCAAACAATTGTTATATAAAGTTATGCATGGTCGTGTCATATGGTATAACTAACGAGGGTTAGTGAAATTCGTACATACCTTACCAGCTGATCTGGCCCAGTACTCTGTTATACAGTTTATGAATATGTGTCACTTCGTTAGGAATATTGATTATGTGACATTTTATCAATGTTATGCGGTATACGTATGTCACAGTATCACAAGGACTTTGAACCCCGCGGTTCTACGAATATGCACTGTCAAATTAAAGGTATTTGTCCCGATATGAAACGGCCTCAATCGGACCCTATATCTTTGTTTACAATGTACACAGCTAGCTTTAATTTGCATCAATATTTGTACAAACAGTGTATCAAAACGTCAATGCTTGTAATCAAAGATCGAAACAACACGTGCAAAAATGCAAACATAATTCGCAAATTTGGCATAAAGGATTACGTACCTTGAGGTCAGGATCTGTGGATTCAACTTGTTTAGTGCCCTGGTCTATAAATAGATACTGACACAAACACAGCGACCAGTTCAATACGCTTACAGCACATGTGTCTTGATAGAGCCGAACGCGGTACTGTATCGTCGGGATTATATGTGTCAAGTCGATACGGTTCGTCATTCGGGTTGTTTCGGGACATGACCATGTCATTTCGGGACTCTATGAACCATTGGTACCTAACCATTGACCAAACACTTTGTTGTTGATTTTGATAAATAGTTGAAACAATATTTAATTCAATAATCAGCAATTTGCCAGATAAAGATAATTTTATGGAATGGGTAAGCAAACTTAGAGTTTATATTACTTCCTTTCCCCTCGTGCAATGAATGACACTAAAAAATAGATTGTTGAAAACTGATACCAGCTATTATGTAACCGTCAGAGAACATGGAATGATTTTCAAATTATTGTCAGTATTTGTATAATTTACACAAAAAATTAAAAATGTCTTTAAATGAGATGAAACTTTTTCCATGCACAATATGATCTTTTGGTAGTTATTTTTATTTTTGTTCAATCGACTGTATATACAACTCGAAACCCGCGAAGTTGATATCTATTTCACACCTACCTCGTTAAAGCCCCCTACTGGCCAGGAAGTTGATATATTTCACACCTACTTCGTTAAAGCCCCCTACTGGCCGGGAAGTTGATATATATTTCACACCTACTTCGTTAAAGCCCCCTACTGGCCAGGAAGTTGATATATTTCACACCTACTTCGTTAAAGCCCCCTACTGGCCGGGAAGTTGATATATATTTCACACCTACTTCGTTAAAGCCCCCTACTGGCCGGGAAGTTGATATATATTTCACACCTACTTCGTTAAAGCCCCCTACTGGCCGCGAAGTTGATATATATTTCACACCTACTTCGTTAAAGCCCCCTACTGGCCGGGAAGTTGATATATATTTCACACCTACTTCGTTAAAGCCCCCTACTGGCCAGGAAGTTGATATATATTTCACACCTACTTCGTTAAAGCCCCCTACTGGCCGGGAAGTTGATATATATTTCACACCTACTTCGTTAAAGCCCCCTACTGGCCGGAAGTTGATATATATTTCACACCTACTTCGTTAAAGCCCCCTACTGGCCGGTATGTTGTTATTTATTTAACACCTACTTCGTTAAAGCCCCCTACTGGCCGGGAAGTTGATATATATTTCACACCTACTTCGTTAAAGCCCCCTACTGGCCAGGAAGTTGATATATATTTCACACCTACTTCGTTAAAGCCCCCTACTGGCCGGGAAGTTGATATATATTTCACACCTACTTCGTTAAAGCCCCCTACTGGCCGCGAAGTTGATATATATTTCACACCTACTTCGTTAAAGCCCCCTACTGGCCGGGAAGTTGATATATATTTCACACCTACTTCGTTAAAGCCCCCTACTGGCCAGGAAGTTGATATATATTTCACACCTACTTCGTTAAAGCCCCCTACTGGCCGGGAAGTTGATATATATTTCACACCTACTTCGTTAAAGCCCCCCTACTGGCCGCGAAGTTGATATATATTTCACACCTACTTCGTTAAAGCCCCCTACTGGCCGGGAAGTTGATATATATTTCACACCTACTTCGTTAAAGCCCCCTACTGGCCGCGAAGTTGATATATATTTCACACCTACTTCGTTAAAGCCCCCTAAAGGCTATACATGTATAAATGTAATTCCAAATAAGCTATTAGTATACCTGTACAATGTATGTATAGACAATTACATCCAATTTTTTTTTTATTAACAATGACTTTATTTTTACTATAGAACACATACGTGGTTATGTATTAATTTTCTTCTCTGAAAGGTGACGTCACACTACCCATTCTGGGATACTTTTCAAAGAAAAAAATTAGCCTTGCATTTTGTACCTTACTGATGTAACAAATTATTTTGCAGTAAACAATAGACACGTCTACCATGCAGTCTTCATTTAGATGTCATCGGTTCCGATGTTTATTTTACACCGTCCTGTCAACACAACTGGTTTCAGCTAGGATTTTGGACGGCTACAGTACGCAATTTATAAAATGGGACACCTCATCACGAATGTTTGTCCGTCAAAATAACTTGCATTTGATTTTATTTTTTTTTTTACTCGAATCACGAGTAAGTATTACCATATGTTATATTTTATCTGTTTAATCATTCATTATAACTTTTCCTTCCTTTTTCAATATTGCTGGATTGGTGTGTTGTAGCAGAAAACCATTTCTAGGGTGTTTTGTCTCACATTCTCTTTTTTCTTTTTTTTAGAAATATATTTGATAAACTGAGAGCCAAGTTTATCAAATCGTCCTTTTAAATATAGATTCAAGTAGCGTAAACTGTTTGTTGAAAAAAAATGTGTTATCTAATCCAAGGTCTAGACCGAGGTGTACAGTGAGGTCACAGAAAGGCAGCTTTTAAAAGTCAATATAGTATTAATTACACAGCAGGTACTCCCCTGTTCTGTCAATACACTCATCATATAGAACGAGGCTAAAACTTGGTATCATTGTCAATACAGACAAACTTTAAAAGTTTTAATTGTCTTAAATTATCTTAATTGTATAACAGTTATTAAGTATAATAGTTAAAAAGCCGATCGTTCACACATTATACATATGATATTGTAATCTAGCCGAGCAATTGCCACAAACAACAACAACGATAATTATATACAGATATATTACACTAGTTACAAAGGTTACAATACTTTTTTGTGTTTTTTTTACTGTGTACGATAACACTCACTCACATTTCATCCGAACATGCATTAGATTTCACACTAAGCTTTCAAAGCATACAATTTACACGATTCTACACCTAAAGTCTCTGTAGCGTCACATATCACAGTTGACAAATATCACAGATGGGAAAGCAGCAATGATCATTTCTATACAATGTCAAGGTCTATCTACAAAATGTACACATCTCCATATACACCAGTACTGACGGTTGCCTCCGAGGATCTGATCTTTCCTTCGCCGATGGTTTCAGTAAAGTCTATGTGTGGAAATAAAATGACCCCTCCGGATCTCCATAAGACGTCGTTTGCCGCCTGTTCCACCAATCGAGAGTAACAAGCTCATAAGTTTACTCCTTCTCCCACAGAAACCATGATCTGTATTCTGCGGTACCAAAGTACGATCATTGCATAACCGGGTGGACGCTCTAGTATGGAAGCACCAACCTACCGTATCGCGCGTACCCAAACGTATACTTACCCGAATAAAGTCGGATTGTGACAGATATACCCTAATTATTTTAATAGGGACGAGGGGGGCTACAGGCTCTCGCACATCTATGACCAAGTGTTATACAAAACGTAGCAAATTGACTTCTGTACATTGCTACCATCTGGTGCATTTTGTTTGGTCTATTATTCGTTTACCATCTAGTCACACTATTTTTGACCTTAGTGTACATAGGATTATAGTTCATCCAAAAACGTTGGTCGATTCCTTACCATCTCTTACACTACTAGTCATTTGTCTGATGAAGGTGGCCGTGTAGTCATCGAAACGTCACACTCAAATCTTCTACAGGTTGTGTTATAAGATTAAGGTGACCGTGTAGTCATCAAAACGTTACACTCAAATCTTCTACTGGTTGTGTTATAAGATGAAGGTGACCGTGTAGTCATCGAAACGTCACACTCTACTCTTCTACTGGTTGTGTTATAAGATGAAGGTGACCGTGTAGTCATCGTCACACTCTAATCTTCAACTGGTTGTGTTATAAGATAAAGGTGACCGTGTAGTCATCGAAACGTCACACTCTAATCTTCTACTGGTTGTGTTATAAGATGAAGGTGACCGTGTAGTCATCGAAACGTCACACTCTAATCTTCTACTGGTTGTGTTATAAGATGAAGGTGACCGTGTAGTCATCGTCACACTCTAATCTTCTACAGGTTGTGTTATAAGATGAAGGTGACCGTGTAGTCATCGTCACACTCTACTCTTCTACTGGTTGTGTTATAAGATGAAGGTGACCGTGTAGTCATCGTCACACTCTACTCTTCTACTGGTTGTGTTATAAGATGAAGGTGACCGTGTAGTCATCGTCACACTCTAATCTTCTACTGGTTGTGTTATAAGATGAAGGTGACCGTGTAGTCATCGTCACACTCTACTCTTCTACTGGTTGTGTTATAAGATGAAGGTGACCGTGTAGTCATCGAAACGTCACACTCTACTCTTCTACTGGTTGTGTTATAAGATGAAGGTGACCGTGTAGTCATCGTCACACTCTAATCTTCTACAGGTTGTGTTATAAGATGAAGGTGACCGTGTAGTCATCGTCACACTCTACTCTTCTACTGGTTGTGTTATAAGATGAAGGTGACCGTGTTGTCATCGAAACGTCACACTCAAATCTTCAACTGGTTGTGTTATAAGATGAAGGTGACCGTGTAGTCATCGTCACACTCTAATCTTCAACTGGTTATGTTATAAGATAAAGGTGACCGTGTAGTCATCGAAACGTCACATTCTAATCTTCTACTGGTTGTGTTATAAGATGAAGGTGACCGTGTAGTCATCGAAACGTCACACTCTAATCTTCTACTGGTTGTGTTATAAGATGAAGGTGACCGTGTAGTCATCGTCACACTCTAATCTTCTACAGGTTGTGTTATAAGATGAAGGTGACCGTGTAGTCATCGTCACACTCTACTCTTCTACTGGTTGTGTTATAAGATGAAGGTGACCGTGTAGTCATCGTCACACTCTACTCTTCTACTGGTTGTGTTATAAGATGAAGGTGACCGTGTAGTCATCGTCACACTCTACTCTTCTACTGGTTGTGTTATAAGATGAAGGTGACCGTGTAGTCATCGTCACACTCTAATCTTCTACTGGTTGTGTTATAAGATGAAGGTGACCGTGTAGTCATCGTCACACTCTACTCTTCTACTGGTTGTGTTATAAGATGAAGGTGACCGTGTAGTCATCGTCACACTCTAATCTTCTACAGGTTGTGTTATAAGATGAAGGTGACCGTGTAGTCATCGCCACACTCTACTCTTCTACTGGTTGTGTTATAAGATGAAGGTGACCGTGTAGTCATTGAAACGTCACACTCTACTCTTCTACTGGTTGTGTTATAAGATGAAGGTGACCGTGTAGTCATCGAAACGCCACACTCTAATCTTCTACTGGTTGTGTTATAAGATAAAGGTGACCGTGTAGTCATCGAAACGTCACACTCTAATCTTCTACTGGTTGTGTTATAAGATGAAGGTGACCGTGTAGTCATCGAAACGTCACACTCTAATCTTCTACTGGTTGTGTTATAAGATGAAGGTGACCGTGTAGTCATCGTCACACTCTAATCTTCTACAGGTTGTGTTATAAGATGAAGGTGACCGTGTAGTCATCGAAACGTCACACTCTAATCTTCTACTGGTTGTGTTATAAGATGAAGGTGACCGTGTAGTCATCGAAACGTCACACTCTAATCTTCTACTGGTTGTGTTATAAGATAAAGGTGACCGTGTAGTCATCGAAACATCACACTCTAATCTTCTACTGGTTGTGTTATAAGATAAAGGTGACCGTGTAGTCATCGAAACATCACACTCTAATCTTCTACTGGTTGTGTTATAAGATGAAGGTGACCGTGTAGTCATCGAAACGTCACACTCTAATCTTCTACTGGTTGTGTTATAAGATGAAGGTGACCGTGTAGTCATCGAAACGTCACACTCTAATCTTCTACTGGTTGTGTTATAAGATGAAGGTGACCGTGTAGTCATCGAAACGTCACACTCTAATCTTCTACTGGTTGTGTTATAAGATGAAGGTGACCGTGTAGTCATCGAAACGTCACACTCTAATCTTCTACTGGTTGTGTTATAAGATGAAGGTGACCGTGTAGTCATCGAAACGTCACACTCTACTCTTCTACTGGTTGTGTTATAAGATTAAGGTGACCGTGTAGTCATCGAAACGTCACACTCTAATCTTCTACTGGTTGTGTTATAAGATAAAGGTGACCGTGTAGTCATCGAAACGTCACACTCTAATCTTCTACTGGTTGTGTTATAAGATAAAGGTGACCGTGTAGTCATCGAAACATCACACTCTAATCTTCTACTGGTTGTGTTATAAGATGAAGGTGACCGTGTAGTCATCGAAACGTCACACTCTACTCTTCTACTGGTTGTGTTATAAGATTAAGGTGACCGTGTAGTCATCGAAACGTCACACTCTAATCTTCTACTGGTTGTGTTATAAGATAAAGGTGACCGTGTAGTCATCGAAACGTCACACTCTAATCTTCTACTGGTTGTGTTATAAGATAAAGGTGACCGTGTAGTCATCGAAACGTCACACTCTAATCTTCTACTGGTTGTGTTAAGTTATAATAACTTCTATCCTATCTCCCATAATTTCAGGAAATCACAGATCATCCTATCCCAAAACTGCCAAAACTTCTGCACAATTTGTACTACATACTCAGCAGAATACTGAGATGTCAATTTCATATTTTGTAACACCTTCAATGACGAAGCTTTGCGTGTGATAACTACTTATTGGACGTCAGAGAAGTGAGAGTTAATTCCCTTGTTTCACTGGTGCTAATAACTTGCTCTATATGCACACAAGTTTCAACTTCAAGTTTGATCAGTCATCTAATCGTCATAAATTGAGAAAATGTCTTCAGATTTCCAAAGTTTCATACAAATAAGAACATTCTGATGTGCTTTTTTAAACATGCGTAAATTTGAATGCATATCTGATAGAAAAAAAATAACAACAACCGCGAAACAAGCTATCAGCTGATATAAATCACTCTTGTTGGGCTGTATGGAAGCTCAAAGGGTTTTTCGGTGGAGGAGCCTGGAGTACCCAAGAAAAACCCACTGTAGTCCAGCAGGTGACCCCATACCTTTTCATATTGAGCCCCAATGTCTAGGTAAAAGGCCAGTGTGTTACCACTGCAACACCTGCCCATTCAGCTTGTCAAATCCTTCTCTCAGTACAATATTTTATCGATTACCCATAGATTTCGTTAACCAAGGCCAACATGAAATTTTACTTAAAAACAAAGAGATGTGTTTAGTTGTGTATACATGTGTTAACTAGTATCTGTTTAGTTTACTGTTTAAATCCAGCAAAGACATGTTGGAGAACAAATTGCTTCATAATATAAAAGTTCAGTAAAAGTCATTTATAAAGATTCTGTTCCTCATAATGAGACATCAGGGAAACAGTTAAATGCTGACTGAGTCATCTGCACAACTGTCCTCCTCAAACAAACATAATTTGACTGTATTCCTGATGTAAAAGAAGGTAAATTTATTCAACTAACAGCTAAATCACCCATTGATAAGTCACTCTCTCAGCAGATAATCATTAATATCAAAAGACAACATTTTTTCAGTTGAAGATGTCAATCTAACAAGCACAAACAACACACAATTTCCATATTACAGGAATTTAATTAAACTCAATACTCTTTTCAGTAATAAGGAATTTTACAGTAAATATTCAAATTATAGCTTTAAAATGTCTCAGGCAATTTTTCTTATAGCAGGTAGCTTTACAACATCAAATATGGTATAATTCATGTACTATCAACTATATCATTTCGGTTTTAATATCTGGAATTCTACCTGGCTGGTTACTATGTACACTGACCCTTTCTTATCTGACCACTCATCAGTGCTAGTCCAGTCAGTACACAGTTAAAAGAAGTTTCTTGGTTGATAATCTGTTTTATGTATTTTTGTTTTTCACAAATTAATCTTAAAACTCCCATCACTAACCAAACACTTTACCTTCTAGTTATGAAATAATGATATTTTTTAATGCAAGTATTTCATCATTTTCAAAGATAATTGTTTAATTTTCTCTTGTTAGAGATCACAAAGTTAAGATCAAACCAACAAGTATCACAGATTAAGCAGTCACTTTTCATACTCTTTCATTTTCCATACATGTTATATGAACAAAAATTTCATTTCATCAGTCACTAATCATTTACTTTCATTTTCCATACAGTTTACAAGGGTCACATGTCATGCAAGCATCATTGAACATACTTTCACTTTCCATACAGTTTACATTTTTGTCAACTTTCTTCCATCTTTGTTGATAGTGTTGAACTGCTGCTAAACATGGCACGATAGGTTTTCTGAAGCTGTTTATCTTCTTCTCGAATAGCCTGTTTACAAAGTGCTAAATACTTTTTAGTTGCAGCATCTGAAATATATTGAGTAGAATATTACTAAATGGTATTTTTCAATAAAGTATCAAATCGATACATGAATTTTGAATATTTGATTATCACAAGTAAGAGTTTTCCAACATGTACCCCATTATACGATATTTAATGAGTGATAAACTATACAGATTTACAGAGTATTTTCAACCTCTCGCAATTGAGCTGAAAGATTATTTATGTTTGCAAACATAAGGCTCTATACGGATGAACGATTCCTTTTCTCTCTTACCCTTTTGAGTTTCTTTTCATGAAATATTGTGGTTATCTTGAGCTTAATTTTTTACCGTTATTGATGCGATGTTTATATAAAGCTGTAAATGAGACATCATACTATTGTCCTAACAGGGGGATCCCCCATCTCTCCTTTGGGGTTATCTCACCCTACTTAAAGCATGGATGCACATGCACAGAGTATTTCACCATGGTCTATCCTGTTAGGCAATGGTTGACAATAGTCAAATAAAAACTATATTGGTTTACTACATTCACTGCAGACTAGACCAAGGTGATATAAAATGAAAAGAATATTTAATAAAATGTTACAAATTGATAAATTGTACATAAACATTAATATTTTGTGAAAGTGTTACCTGCTGCCTCTAAACTGAGAAGGATGGCTTGAGCCTCGTCAAATTGTTTTAAGTGATACAGAGCAACTCCTTTACGATATTTGGCTTTGTTGTTGGATGGTCGGTCTTCTAGAACTTGTCCACAATACTCCAGTACTTTTCTGTAGTTAGGATTCTCTTGGTGCAGCAGACAAGCTGTTATACACAATGTTAAAATGAAAAGTATTTCATTAAACTTTATATTACCACTGTCTGACAAAAACAGGGATAACTTATAATTAAATTGAAGTCCACACACTTAGCAGTATAATAGGTCATTAGTTTAGCCAACGAGTCTCTGATACTTTTACTCTGAGTTTTGACATACTTAATCATTATTCAAATATCCACGGTTTAGGGTTAATAATTTGATTTGTCCAAGGTAAAATAATACACATATCCCACGTCTCCTTTCATCTCTACACCATCAAACATCAAGCTATCATAAACAGTATTTACAATTCAAACATATCAAGATATAATCCTTGGTGGGATTCCTCCTTGGGAGTTATTTAGATTGGACGTTTGACAATGTCTCTTGTCAAACGACCGATATAAATGAGTTCCAATGAGGAATCCCAAAATGGATTATAGTATTGAAAAAACTTGCAAACAAATAGGCAAACAGGAGAAGATCATACGGTCTAAAAGTAAACTTAGGAGTAATTTTCACTTTTCAATACATTTTTACCTGCTAAATTATTGTAACAGTCCACCCTCAAAGAGATAAACAAATCATTCATTTCTGGAGACAGTTCTTGTGGGGAACCATTTTTCATTTCAACCGGCAACAACGCGGCACATTTTGATTCACTTCCGACAGCTTTCAACTGTAATATAGCTCTGTGGTATTTCCCGATAGCCTTTCTGTAATCTCTCTCTTTGTAGAAAGCATTGCCATCTGCTTTGAATGTAGCAGCTGTCCTGATCTTCTCGTCATCACTGACTTTTCTACTTGTTTCCTGCATTTTCGCGTTTTAACTGTATAGGAACGAAGGGAGACCACTCGTGTCTGTTTGAAAATTTAGGTTGCAAGCGCGTATTTCTTTCTGTACCAGTCGTCACTACAGACGGGTCTTCATTTCATATACTATTGTAACTATATTCATTTCATCATTTCAAGAAAATATTTTTCCCGAAGATTCTATATACTCATGAATAAAATGCAGGACTCAATATATATTGTCAAATACAATACACCGAACTTCATGTAAACTTTACACTGAGAGTAGATGTATATATATTTATAATAGGAAGGAGCAATGATAACATCCCGCCGCCGCTGGGGTTCGAACTAGCGGCCCTTTGGTCTCTAGTCGAACACTCTTCCGCTCGACTAAAGAGAAATTCCCACTAGCTGAGGCTAGTAAGGCGACCTGTACTCTCAACTTCTGCACTACTCATTCCTTCACAAAGTCATCGACCCCAAATACAACAACAATCCAAGTTCAATATCTCCATGGAAGGATCTTTCTCTCCTAAAGCTTCTACACTTGGAGTGGTCAACGACATCAAATCTGTAACAGAAAAAGGATGTGCTCTCCGCCTTGGCAATTTTATGAAATATAGCGAAATCTGCGGGTCTGCAGCTTATTCCGTCAGAGTACATCGAGACTTCTCTCAAAACTTAGCATCCTCAACAGCTTAACAAATGGACAGTGGGAGGGGGTATTGCTTCAATCCTCCTCAATCCATTTCAGGTGAATTGAGGTAGGATGGAGGTAGATTGATGTTTTATAGAGGTAGGATGGAGGCAGATTGAGGTAAGATGGAGGTAGATTGAGGTTGGATTGAGGTAGGATTGAGGTAAAGTGAGGTAAAACTGAGGTAGAATAGAAGTAGGATTGAGGTAGATTGAGGTTGGATTGAGGTTTGATAGAGGTAGGACTGAGGTAGATTGGGGTTTGATAGAGGTTTGATAGAGGTAGGATTGAGGTTCGATTGAGGTAGATTGAGGTAGAACTGAGGTAGGGTTGAGGCGGAGTGGAATTGAAATAACACAGCAAGTGATGTTGAAGAAAGTCAAAACCAAGGCGTTTATTTAAAGGAAGAGGGAAAGAGTTTACAATTAACTGGAGACTTTTTTTCAAACGTCTGTTTTTAAATCTGAAAGTCTTCACTGCGTTCATTCATATATGGAAAACTGAAACGTCATGCGAAACAGTATTTCTTAAAAGTTTTACAAATTTACTTCTAGTTTAAACAGACAAAACGTATCTTAATATATTTTATAGTAGACAAAATCCTCTACATCTGTTGCTGTTGCTGCGGTGGTTGCTGTGGCAACTGAAGTTGTTGCTGCGATGATTACTGTGGCAGCTGTCATCGTTGTTGTTATGGCAACTGTTGTTGTTGCTATGGTGGTTGCTGTTGAAGCAGTTGTTGTTACTGCAATGGTTGACGTGGTTGCTGTGACAACCGTTGTTGTCGGTATTGATACGGTGGTTGCTGTTGAATCTGTTGTTGTTACTTTGGTGGTTGGTGTGGTTTCTGTGACAACTGTTGTTGGTATTGATACGGGGGTTGCTGTTGAATCTGTTGTTGTTACTTTGGTGGTTGGTGTGGTTTCTGTGACAACTGTTGTTGGTATTGATACGGGGGTTGCTGTTGAATCTGTTGTTGTTACTTTGGTGGTTGGTGTGGTTTCTGTGACAACTGTTGTTGTCGGTATTGATACGGGGGTTGCTGTTGAATCTGTTGTTGTTACTTTGGTGGTTGGTGTGGTTTCTGTGACAACTGTTGTTGGTATTGATACGGGGGTTGCTGTTGAATCTGTTGTTGTTACTTTGGTGGTTGGTGTGGTTTCTGTGACAACTGTTGATGGTATTGATACGGGGGTTGCTGTTGAAGCTGTTATTGTTGCTGCGATGGGTGGTATGGTTTTGTTTCTAATTGAATACCAGTTTGAAGAGGGTCGCCCTACTTTACATGTATCATCTCACAAACTGTCGTCCAGGTAGCGTCGTATTTGTAACAATAGAAAAGTACGTATTACGAAAACGTTCGTACCACAGGGATTTGGCACGAATTCCCAATCCACAGTCCTGGTTTTGATGAACTTCTGAACTGATGCAAATTATGAACATTCAGTAAGGATTTGCTACACTAATTTCAGTCTTCTATTTTTGCTAGCCAGACTTTTAAGTGCCCATTCCCAGTGGCCAGCTAGCATTTCGGATTTCATTTGTTTATACATAATACTGATTAGAAAGGTATTTGGGGCGGAAGGGTGTCGTCTTTGTATAGGATTAAAATACGATACTTTTTTCAATTGTTTTATCTGCAACTTTGAATTGTGTGAGGACTCTTTTGTGTGATTGTAATCCGTGATGTGTTCATATTGTCAGACATGACGGAGAACATGGCATGCCGTGTTAGAACTGGCACTCTAAATTTCACCGTGTCATTGGTTTTCACATGCTCAAAACAAAGTAAAGAGAAGGGAATATGCTGATGAATCAGCAGATAGCGTTTACAATTTCACGAATAATGGTGGAAGATGTATAGACCCCGAATTTCCTTTTTAATGTTTCATGAACAGACTGTTACGATGTAAGATTTCAGTATCATCAACACCAATTAAGTCAAGTTAATTTTTACATGATTCTCGTCTAAATGAATGACCTTGGTTTAAATTGACCAACAGACTGAACACAAAGGCGTCTCCAAAACTGGACGACTATAATCTGGATGGATAAATTTATTCTGATCAACCACAGGCACTCGAGGCCAGGATATTATTTTTTAAACATTGATTTTTGTTTTAGCACTCATGACTGACGTTATTTAAACGAAATATCAGCAGAATTCAAGTTTATGTGCCGGTTGACAAATCCGAGGTCCACGGTCATTAAAAATACACAAGGCAAGCAACTCCAGATTTTAAAAAATCGACCCCTCGCTTGGAAACTGGCTCAAAAAAAGTAGTTATGATAAGTTCCTTGTAAAACAATATGTATCCGTAGGTAGTGTGTATATTTACCTTTTATTTGGTGCATAACATTACAGGCAACGAGAAATTCACAATACGTACATGAGATTAACATCTCAATAACCGGAGATTTTATCGTCCATGTAATTATCTTTGACGGAAGTAACATGCCATTTCAAGGGCGGTCACTCCGACTTTTTGGGAGAGGAGTTCCGGATAGCACTATACCAGTGAACAGGTAAGAAAGGTTCCGATGTCATTACGCGCGTAACTTCAAAATAGATATTTTAAATATTCTCAATAACTTGACAAAAATCACTATGGAAAAAATCATTTAATTTCCAATTTCTAAGTTAATATATTTCCCCCACGATATTTTTCATAAATTGCGCGCTTTTTTCATTATCTGCATGATTTTTTTCTTATTATTTTTTTTTTTTTTTGAAAAAAAAATTCTCATTACCGCCAGCTTGATTGAAAGTTGATGCATTCTGTATAATCCCTTACCATGATATTGTATCCGAGTTGGCAAATGTGGACTTTCTTTGCCCAGCCATTATTTTTCCATCCCCGCAAATGTATTTGTAGAAATAAAAATATCTATTTTGAAGTTACGCGCGTAATGACATCGGAACCTTTCTTACCTGTTCACTGGTATAGTGCTATCCGGAACTCCTCTCCCAAAAAGTCGGAGTGACCGCCCTTGAAATGGCATGTTACTTCCGTCAAAGATAATTACATGGACGATAAAATCTCCGGTTATTGAGATGTTAATCTCATGTACGTATTGTGAATTTCTCGTTGCCTGTAATGTTATGCACCAAATAAAAGGTAAATATACACACTACCTACGGATACATATTGTTTTACAAGGAACTTATCATAACTACTTTTTTTGAGCCAGTTTCCAAGCGAGGGGTCGATTTTTTAAAATCTGGAGTTGCTTGCCTTGTGTATTTTTAATGACCGTGGACCTCGGATTTGTCAACCGGCACATAAACTTGAATTCTGCTGATATTTCGTTTAAATAACGTCAGTTATGAGTGCTAAAACAAAAATCAATGTTTAAAAAATAATATCCTGGCCTCGAGTGCCTGTGTGATCAACAGGAGATGCTGACAAACTTAATAAGTATGTGCTGTGCTGTGCTTTTCATCATGAACGAATGTGGTTTAAATATATATACACGTGTAGCGGAATTTGACGAGGTCGATCCTCAGCGACCAGTTAGCTTAGTAGGTAGAGCATCCGTCTAGAGTTCGAACCCCGGTCTGGCTGCGCATTTCCCCGCTCCTGTTACACATGTTTGTCTTATGTCACACAGGCACTCGAGGCCAGGATATTATTTTTTAAACATTGATTTTTGTTTTAGCACTCATAACTGACGTTATTTAAACGAAATATCAGCAGAATTCAAGTTTATGTGCCGGTTGACAAATCCGAGGTCCACGGTCATTAAAAATACACAAGGCAAGCAACTCCAGATTTTAAAAAATCGACCCCTCGCTTGGAAACTGGCTCAAAAAAAGTAGTTATGATAAGTTCCTTGTAAAACAATATGTATCCGTAGGTAGTGTGTATATTTACCTTTTATTTGGTGCATAACATTACAGGCAACGAGAAATTCACAATACGTACATGAGATTAACATCTCAATAACCGGAGATTTTATCGTCCATGTAATTATCTTTGACGGAAGTAACATGCCATTTCAAGGGCGGTCACTCCGACTTTTTGGGAGAGGAGTTCCGGATAGCACTATACCAGTGAACAGGTAAGAAAGGCTCCGATGTCATTACGCGCGTAACTTCAAAATAGATATTTTTATTTCTACAAATACATTTGCGGGGATGGAAAAATAATGGCTGGGCAAAGAAAGTCCACATTTGCCAACTCGGATACAATATCATGGTAAGGGATTATACAGAATGCATCAACTTTCAATCAAGCTGGCGGTAATGAGAATTTTTTTTTCAAAAAAAAAAAAATAATAAGAAAAAAATCATGCAGATAATGAAAAAAGGGCGCAATTTATGA